TCAGCCCTTCAAGAACAAAGATGTGTGTCCTCTTGTCTACTATGTGGAATCCTGTAACAAAATCCAGATCCTTGCTCTCATTGTTCTTGAAATTCAGTCTGTAGTTTGACAGGGCTTTCTCTAGATTTTCCAGTGAGTGAGAGCAAATATGAAAAGCTGATGCATTGATTCTGAGGATCTCTGACCTCAGCTCGGTCATCACAGAGATGTTGTTGTAATCAAAGAGGTAGATGATGCGCCCAAACGGATCAGAGGTCTCCAATTCACAGCCGTCTTTTTTAACGTTGAGCGGAAAGGCTATCTCAACCTTGACTTTGAGTTGAGAATTGGCATCAAAATAACGGCCTTGTGGCATGGGCTGTCTGCTAGCTGCTGTGTCGGTCGTCTTCCTGTTCCATGCACTTTGCTCTGTGTCCAGCAGCAGAGGTAGAGGGCAGCATTTGATTGGTAAGTGCATCTGTAGGCTTTTCCTCCCAAGTAGCAGCTCTGAGAGGTTCAGTCTTGCAATACCATGCGAGTTCACGACTCTTGCCTTCTGTTTTAATAGCGACGCACCACACAGGATGTCTTCTGACCGCGTGCCAAACACTGCTGGAGTTTTTGGTGTTTCCTCCAGCTTTCTGTCCCGATCATGGACCTCTATCTCCATAGGTGGACCGGAGAGGAACTCTTTGAGCTCTTCAGGATTCATCAAGCCAGTCAGGATCACATTCACATCTCTGATGTAGATGTTGGTGCCGTGCTTGTGATAGTTTGTTCTGTGCGTGCTCAAGTTATGGAACTTGTACTGGCAATATACAGGCACACATTTTTCCTGGGAAAACGGAAGTTTAACCCATGTCACGTCAAAGCTGACTCAATTTTAACAACTCATCAAAGCATTAAAACAGTGAATGAGAGAATATATTCAACACACATGTACAGCACAAGCCATATATTAATTGTGACATTGTTAATAGACATTAAATGAGATGTAAGTCCCACCTCTAGGACGTGGAAAGGGACAGTGGACGAAGGCATTGAGATGGCTGACAGAATTGTGATGACCAGTGGATTGAGATCAGCCTTCAGTTGGTCGGATATTAATGGTCTGTTCAGAGAGATGTTGCACATGACCTCAAATACACCAGCTGAACAGACTTGGAAGCGTTCCGTCAATGAGGTCTCACCTGGCAGTCACAAAGTATTCCCTTTACGGTTAACATTGTGACTGAAATTTTAAATCGCAAAATCTTTTCAGCCTTGGTAGTTGTGGGGCTCGAAGGGTGGCAGTATGGGGCATAGCTTTTATCCACACTAGAATATCTCAACTAATATTGCATAGATCTATATAAATCCGAGCAGTTGCAATTTTGCTTCAGGCCTCTAAAAATATTATGAAGACAAAAGTAAACTGCTGATACCAGGAGATCTAATCATCTGATGAGGGTTGGTTTGTTTTAAAGTTTGGGGAACAGGCTAGTGTGAATAAAAGGTTCACTCACCTGCCAACATAGTGATGGGACTGATCTCAGCTGAGGCATTGCCATTCTTTTTGATATCCTCACGGTTGCAAGCGACAGTTGTGGGTTTTTGAAATCCTGTTTTGGTGAGAGAAAACAAGTTATATCGGTCTATGAAATTATGAGAAATATATCTATCATCTCATAGCTTATACAGAGTTTAAAAAGCAGGAAGTTTGGCAAAGATGCAAGACAACAGTGTGCATACATAAACCAGTGTAGTGTCATTATTTAGCATCATCATCATCATTAAATTGTAGATTTACCTGTTTCGGAGCAGGCCTCTGAATCAGACTGAAACAGTATATTACTTTTGTGCTTTTTAGATATGTTTGACTTCCTCTCAAATAAGGTTCTCAGTTGATTTACCATAGTCTTGATATCACCTTAAAGCAAAGATTTCATGTTCATCAGTACAGACAATATGTATAACGTTTGTGTCATTTTGAGCCACGATGAAGGTGATGCTCACCACACATGTCTGATGCATCTTCAGGCTGATCCTGTGGCAGTCTGAAGACTTTCAGTCTTTCATAGCGAGCCTGGCTGCACAATTTGTCCTTAGTGTTCCAAATCAGGAGCTTGATCTTATGAGAAAGTAGACTGATCAACATGTCCCTGCTGACTCTGACGTTGAAATTCTGGGACCAGCCGACCCATGTCTGATCCACTTCGTGCCATATTCTTAGAATCTGTTACACAATTCACAGATTTATTTTTGCATTAGAAGCACTTAATACTATATATTTTATTAAACTGCAGGATCTTTTGAAGTGTTTATCAGAAATCATCATCCTTCTGATAACAGCCCCTGTGCACTGATGGATCATTTACTGTAACAGTATAGCTGCTTTAGTGTTGCTCATTCAGGACGTTCATGAATTGTTCATTAAGGACACACACACACACACACGTGCGCCAGGTCACCTTGAACTCATCTTCTTTGTACATTTTTGCTACTGGTCCAAACATTACTAGGTCCACTTTGACTGTCTCTGTATCACCTGGCAACAACTTGTATTCAATATGATAGCAGCTCTGAGCCTTATGGGATTTCACCAACACAGATGAATCTTTATTTGTTTTCCTAGCCTTTTCAGGAGCTTCCGGGACATCAGCTTCTTCTCCTAAAAAGGGACAGATGTTAATGAATGAGATCAAGGATCAAATAAATCTGTACCATGTTTCTTAGTTTGTAGTAGTGCTTTGTTGTACATTTCAGTAGTTTCCACACTACTTCATCCTTCTGACTCTCAGTTTGAGTAATGTCAATCGTTCATAAGTTCTGAATGATAAACATACCTCTTGGGACAGCTAGAGCAATGTAAACTGTCCATGTGACGTGATAAGAGCTGTCATCTGTGTGTTCTGGGACATCTTCAGTAGAACCTGACCTATTTTCCAAACCATGCTCCATAGTCAACACATCAGTTTCAAGGACAGGGACATCTTCCTGTCTTTTATCTGTAACTTCTCCATCGTCACAGTCTGCCTGTGACTTACAAAGGCCTGTCCCTGACATGCTGGCCTGCAAGAGAAGGGTAAATGAAAAGGACAACAGAATGGATGCTGGCTAACATTTCATACCTAGTCTGTCCCTAAGAGCTAATTGAGCTAATTAGGAGACAGTTATTCACAATTCTCAGAGTTCATATGTGTCCTACCAAACGCAAGCTTACCTTAAACACATTCATTTTAAATCAATTAACTACATACACAAGTAGATTATAATGAACCTTTGCCCTGTTTATTTACACATTCATTTGAGATATGTGACAACAATGATCAGTTTGAGGAGTTATTAATGTTGGGATTGGTTGAAATTTGCGTGTGGAATAAATTGAGGTGGAAATGCATGATATGTTGATGGATTCTCAGAATGGGTTTACCCTCCACAGGTGTAATAAATTATGACATTAATGGAATATAATGCAGTAGTGGATTTAAAATATTTTCTCCATGGATTAAGGGATTTACATTTACAAAATAACACTACAGGTACTCCTCAATTGTACACATTGGCCTACTATGATATATTAACCTTACATTGCATGAATGTGTCTATTAATTTCCATATCAAAAGTAAATTGATCGAAGACTCAGAGGTGAAAAAATGAGAAATTCAGTTTCATAGTGAGCTCAAAGCAGTTTTTACATTTCACCTTGTTAGTTCTGCCTGGTGTGTTTTCGTCAGTGAGCTCATTCTGGAAATGTAATTCTTGGAAGAAGGAAGGGAAGCCTACAGTTTCTCTGACAACTATATGTGTTTAAACAACACATGAATGTAGTTTCTTGTTTCTTGTTTGCTCACCTTGGCTGCTGTTGGCTCAGATATTTCGTGTGTGACGCTCAGGAGGTTTAAAGTCCTCTTGAAGAGTTGGTTGTTGAAACACACCTCTGCACTCATTGTCCTGGTAAACGTCCGCCTGCCACTCAAACTGTGTGATTTGAGGGCAACGCGTCGCCATGACAACCACTGTGGCGAAGTCACGTGATTCCTTGCCTCACGTGCTGTCGGGACCAAATAAAAACAACAAGATGTACATGGACGTCATAAAAGGGATATTACCAAAGCCATGAGAGAAAAACCATCAGAGCAGACACATGTTGTTAATCCAGGGAACAGTAAGCACACTTAAAACAATTTACAGTTTCAAAAGCCTACTATAAAATTGTATTGGAAGCTTTGAAGTTAATTCTTTATATATATATATATATATATATATATATATATATATATATATATATATATATTGTTGCTGCCTTAATAAGCTGCCTTATTATGACTTTGTAGCATAAATCATGTAGGTAGAAAGCATCGTGCCAGTTCCAGATAGACCGTCTTCATGCTCTAGTTGCCGAGCTGTGGCGTTTAGATCCTACAGTTGTTTTCAATAGTAGCCTCATAAACAGTTTGGGTACATTCCTTGCAATAGAATTTTTTATTTGATCCATTTGGACTGGGGCCTTTGAGGGGCACTTGAAGCAACAATGGATAGGCTATAATGGGGAGATGAGAAACTCTACAGCATTTGTAGTAGACCTAACTAAAGCCGGTGAAATGAGATTTTGCACTCATAGGCAATAAAAGTAGGTAGTAGTAAATCTGTAGATCCAAAAATCAAGACACGATCGATTTACATACACGCTAAAGCAGAGTAGGAGATCTGTACAATAAACATGGAGAGGAACTTCTACCGAGTGTGTGGCTGCAGATCACAATCACATTCAGAAGCTGCAGCGAAACACGACTGCAACCAGCCCGTGCACGAGGCTGCACCAGCAAGGTCCGAAGTGTGCAAACAGCCCTGAGCTTGAGTTTTACTCCTGCATAAAGACCGTGCTTTAAAAATTCTTCAGCAGAAAACCTCTGCCCCACAGCATATTAGTCTCTTGGGCATCTTACATCTTAACGAGGTCGGACTCAAGTGAATGACAGACGTTTACACACCTGGTTGCAATTACACTCAGGCAACGGCAATACGGGATCGTTATAGTAGCCTATGTGTGTGATACTGACTCCTGGTTGGGACCCCTGCTTTTGGGTTTGGGGGGCAGTACTAAATTCAAATCTGCTCTTAACACACGCCTCATTTCAGCTCCGCCAGTCTGCTATGAGCTTGTGCTGAGAGGATGAACACGAAACACACACAGGAAACAAAAGTAACTGTGTTAGTTTCGAGGAAATATGATGTTGCTCTGCAGAAATGATGGATACAGTAGACTCCATTGATCCATACAGCCGACCAGCGCGCAGGACACAATGGATAGTCAGCACTCTGGCTTACCATTACGGACTGGACCGGGGAGTGGAGAACGAAATCATAGTTTTGGCTACCGGATTGGATCAGTACCTACAGGAGATTTTCCATCATATGGACTATCAAGGTGAAGGTAAAATCCGCGTGGAGGACTTTAACATCTTGTGCGAAGTTTTGGGACTGAACACGGACTCGGAGGACACAGAATGCGCCGGTGTTTCAGACAATTTACCCATCGAGCTCTCCTTCAGACACTTCCACGCTAAACTGTGCGGATACTTCAGCACCAAGGCGGGGTGTCAGTATGAGAACGGCCGGCTGCTGGTCGGAAAAGACAGCGAGCATATAGAGACTCAGATCCGCCTGAGAAGCCCTCTGAGGCGGCGAGAGAAGCTGCTGTCTGTGGGTGCGAGCGGCGGCTCCTGTCCCTCCTCGGAGGGACGGCACGCCTCCGGCTGCAGGCTCGGATCCTGCACCAAAGAGTGCTATGAGGAGATAGTCGCGCTGGAGGAAGCGGAGGACCGAATAGCGAAGCTGGAAGACGAGAATGCAAGTTTACGGGAGCTGATTGAGGACATGCGAGCCGCGCTTCAGAGCAGTGATGCCCGCTGTTTGGCCCTGCAGGTGAGGGGGCTTGGAGTGCTGGTGTTGCATAAGAGTAGCCCATATTCTGTTGAACTCACAAAACCCTGCTTAAGTTTTAAATATGCAAATAGTTTTTGAATGTAATGGTAATAGGTATCATTCAGTTGGATCATACAAGCCCCTAAAATGCCAACATAGATTCATTGGGGGGGGTTAAAAGTCCTTGTACCAGGGAACAGGGGTGCTGATACCAACTTGTTGAAGGGCATATTCTTGCATAGGGCCCCAAGACAACCACTGCCACCCAGAAGTAATGCATTATACTTGATCTTTAAAGCATTAGTGAATGATTTCAATCTATTAGCCACAAACCCTAAATGGGCCTCACCTATTTCTCACTGTCTAACAAGCAATCCGCAAAAGTCATTTTCATTCATTTAAAAAAGTAATGTAAAGTAAAGATCTTCTTCTGACAATTCATTAGGTCTGCTGTTGTAAATGTTAATAAGTTGTTAATAAATAAATTGATTTTGGCTGAGATGCCCTGCTGCCCCTTAAAGAAGGGACGTGGTCAAACCATTGGAGGGGAATTAGAACCAAAGGGCCAACTAAACAGTACTAAGCAGAGGTCATCTGGAGGAAGGTAAACACCAGCTACAGGGATTTTCCACAACCTGGCAACCTATGGCTTATAATTGATATATTCAACATTAGTAAATTACTTATTTAAAAGCATCAGTTACAACTTATAACCTAATTAATTATCCTTTATGACTCACTAACATTTATTATTAGAACGTAAGAAACTTAAACATTTCATTCACAACCCAACAATCCAAATGTAGGCCTTATTTATGGCTTATAACTGATATACAAGGCATGTCTTACGAGAAAGTGGTACCAAAACCTTCAACTGTTTATTGATTATTTTATTGACATTTATACCTTTTAGAATTTATAATTTACAATTAGTAAGTGAGAAATCAACATCCTTGAATAATGATAGTTTATCAGTGACATGACTATTAATGACTCACTAACAAGAAATATTTTTCACAGCCTGGTGACCCAAACATTCGTCTTTTCAGTGGCTTAAAATGTTTGATTTATTGTCACATTTGCCGAGCGCAAACACAGGAAACGCAAGGCAAGGCAAGTTTATTTGTATAGCACAATTTAACAACAAGGTAATTCAAAGTGCTTTACATAAAACATAAAAGCAACAAGGGAGTTGGACCCAAACACAGGACACTTGGCAGAGCAATTTTAATAATAGAGAAGGGGTACACAGTCTTATTGTGAGTTGAGGCAGGCAGGCGTCAAAACCAGTTAAACAGGCAGTCAGCAAATAACACAGGTGAATATTCCGGAGAACACACAGAAACACAAGGAACAGGCTGGAACTTTTGACATAAGGACGAAGACGGCCGCACAAATGACAAAGACACACCGACAGTATATATACACAAGAGAGGTGATTTATAAGACATAGGTGAGACCAATCAAGGCAGGGCAGACAATTACACAGGCAGGAAAAACAACAAGTAAACACAAACACAGGAGAAAGAGTTTAACAAAATAAAACAGGAAATAACACTAAACTCAAAACCACAGCATTAAAAAAACATTAAATACAACTTATAAGTCCTGAATAGGAGGAGGTAGTGCAATTTTGATTTCAGGTCATATCTTGATCTGGTCCCATCCAGTCACCTGTCTCGCTTCTGTTCAGGTAGGACTATGGAAAAGCCACTCCAGACACAAACCAGAGGAAGGCTGTTTTGTTGCCCACCAGAAACAAGCTGCCCAGAAAAGCAACAACAAAATGAAAAGCAGCACCTACAGCAACCTGAAGAGCCTGCAGAACATTATCCACGAGATAGAGATGCTGCAGAGCTCCAGAGACCGACAGGTAGACGAAGCCATGCTGTGTAATCAGAGACTGGAGCAGGAACTGTGGACCTCTAAAGAGACTGTGGCCGCTCTGGAGGACTGCAACCAAGCCCTGAAAAGAGAGCAGGTGGGCATGAGGAGGAAGGTGGAGGAGGCCAGGCAGGCGCTGTTCAGCGGCCTGGGGAAGGTGAAGGAACTAGAAGCAAAGGCTAGTCATGTGCCGGCGCTGCAGAGACACATCCTCCAGCTGGAATCAGAGCTCCTCTACTACAGGTAAAAACATTAAGAACACATGTCACAGTTTAGGATTTAGTCACTGAGTGCTTCTGGGTAAGACTGCATCCTATACACTGGACTGTGTTGACACACTCTGCGCAAGTTTTTTGTTATGCTAGTCTAACAATCAGAATGAATTGCCATTTTTCACTTCATTGAGCCCGACATTGTGTTCTTGTTAGTTAATTTCTTGTATGGAGGGAGATACCGGCACCGGTTGTTAGGAGCAGTTACCTTTAGAGGTGCTTAGTGGAGTTTATTTGTAAATTAGCAAGAGTTACGTCAACATTCGGAGTTTCTCACCAAAACACACTGTGTATATCCCTGAGGTCTAACATATGTGTTGAAGGCTTTTCCTTCCTCATAAAACATTTGCAAAGCCAATTTTGGGTAGCTCAGAGGTCTGGAACCAGGCTAATGCTACATGGCCACAGCGTAACTGCTTGTTAGATCATGTAACAACACTTGAAACTTCCTCATCTAGAGCTGAATAGGTGCGGCTTATAGCCATTTCCGTAACTTTCCAACGCCAACATTAGGCCAGGTGTTTGGAGGCGTGAGAGTAGGTTTGCACTTTTTTCTCAAACTTTGTTTTACATTTTTACACAACAACTTCCATCACTTTCAGTGTGTACAAGTTCAACTAAGTGCAACACCATGAAATTCTTTGACGAGAGACTGTCCTGTGCTATTTTTATTTGTATGATTATTTACATCAAGACGACAAAGAAACAGATTTCTTGGAGAGAGATAGAGGAGATAGTTTGACAGCATGCTGTGTTGCCATTCAAAACAGGTATAAACGCTATTGTCTTTAGGACTATGGAAGCCCGAGTTCAATATTAAATAAATAAAAAAGAAACTATGAAATAAATAATCATATGAATAAATTGTATACGTAAATGAACCAACAATTGTTCGTAATAGGTAAAGAAAAGATTTAAACTCAACTCATTATTAAATATTATTTCATCACTCATTTTCATAATAACTTAATTTTATTGGATATAATTTTATTTCATCAGACATTTTATTGCAAAAGTGTCCTCTTTTTTAAAATAACACCAATAACACATTTCATATGAAATACAAAGCGACATTATAAAATGTAAGAACTGTTGGGGAATGCCATGATGAAATTAAAACAGAAAGCGGCATTTTAAAATAATTTAATAGTTATTGTGAAAATAAGAGGGATGACGTAACATTTTATAATATTCAGCAGAGTTATAATTCTTTCTTAAATAATTTTCAAAGTAAGCGAACAGGACAGTGAATAAATAAACATCTGAAAAATCTAAAACCTTTTAGAGTGTTGAGTTTTTGGAGTGTGTTCAGAACTGTCCGGTGACAGTGCTGTAGGTGTGTGTGTGGAGTGGGATTGCTGCAGTTGCAACATTTGATACAGACTTTTACCTCTTCATTAGGCCCAATCAGCTGTCAAAACGTGTCTTTTCATCATGCCATGAGAAGGGAGGGCTTGTTTTGGCAGGTTACTGCAATAGGTAGGCATTTGTGGCTAGAATGAACCCTAATGAATTGTAATTCCTCCTAGAATAAAATTACTCTGTTTGCTTTTGGCTTCATGCCTGGAAAACTCTGCCGTGGTAGTTATGATGGCTTGATGTGGTTTACTATTCCAATTTTCATCCTTTTAGTTTATTTACCAGGCATCGTGTGTGGCAGTTCGGTCTTGCCTGAGCTCTGCTACTGTTTCATTTAGGTGGAAGTAAGGGTGTAATTGGACTTTTAAAGTACAAAGCCATTGGTTCAGTGTTTATCTCTGTGTCTGTTGTCACTGCTCCAAACGTATAATTAGTGTCTGCAGGTCTGGTTTTCTTAGGTAGCAGCTGTTAGAAAGAATGGTATGGTTGTCTACCTACAGTACACCACAGTCATGCACATCCAGACCCATATGATTGAAGTCCTCACTACCACCTGTCTTTAGGTGAATCTCAATAACACATTTTGCAACCACCATACCCTTCCTTTAACCCTAAACTCCTCTAATCTATGCAGACTTCGTTCCAAAGTCTTTTCACTGCCCTTCCATTGATACCCTAATAGCAAATAATTCAACATTACAAAGGCTCTGACTTGTCAAGAGAAAGCCCTATTGAGTGAGAACCTCAACAGACTGGCCATTCTCATCAGTCTCTTCTCACGTCTTTCACTCTGCTCCCGGGTGAACAATAACCACATAGACACCCCCGTCCTATGGATCTTAGCAACCAAGCTCCATGAAAATTCCCACTAAAGTCTCTTGCTTGCTCAGTCACATCTTATCCCAGGACATGTTTAGAGAGAAAGGTGCCATTTGAGGTGTTTTGTTTTAAGATTGGAGTGAGATGCTTGTCTCTGCTCCCCCTCCACAAGCAGGAGACATGTCTCAGTGTCAGGAGTCTATGATAAAATGTGGTGGGTATAAAGATGCAGTAGTGTGTCAAGGGGTGTGTTGAAATGATGAATCTTAACTTTATCCCTGTGGTTTATTTCTAAACTCCTGTGACAAGTAATGAGATTAACGTAGATGCTACTGGATATCAGGGGTGGGGGGTTCTGTCCTGTGGATTCCACTCAGGCACAGTGAAAGTGAAGATGAAGATAGACAATGCTTACACATCCTTATAATATTAGAGCACCTATTAGGAGCTGTAACCCACTGGAATAACCACCTATTTTACCTGGCATCAGCAGCCAGTTCGCTTATCTTAGCATGTGATGAAAACAGGGTAAGAAGCTAACCAGGCTCCATTCAAAAGAAACAAACCATGTTTACCAGCACAACTAAAGCTAACTAATTAACACTTTAGATCTTGTTTGTTTAGTCAGTACAGAAAAGTGAAGAATAAAAATGTGGGGGTTATACGTGTTCATTTAGAGGGGCAGATTTTGCCTTTGCACAGACACAGGCAAGTTGTTCCCTAGCTCTAGCTTCATACTGCATTTACTGTACAGACATGTGATTGGTATCAGTTTTCTCATCTAACTCTCAGCCAGAACGCTAATAAGCTTTTTCCATGAAATGTGGGACTGTTCCTGTAATATGTTTACATCTTGATTTCCTTTTTAGTGTTTTTTAGCATTTGTTGATGCACAATTTTCTCATCTTGAAAATTCCCTTTCAACTTTCCATCAACATTCCAGCACAATTCAGTTTAAAAAATGTGGTCATCGGTATGAAACACAAGATGTGTGGGTGTTATTGCATAACGTCTGTGAATTCTTAGCCTACGACAGAACAGAAAAGGGGCTGAGACTCAGCATGCCTTCAGGAGTTGATTAGCACAGGAACTTCTTTGTAAACTGGGATGGTCTAAAAGTGTCACTTTTTAGTTCTGTTTTTCACTCCAGAAGGTGAAGGGGGTCTAAATCAATCACTGTAGCCTATAGAACTCTATGGGCCACAGGGATCAGACAATAGGAAGCACAGCGAGAGGAACACAAAGAAACGAGGGGGAGGAAGGCCTACCATCTGGAGGAAGAAGCAAACACTTAACTGTTTGTTCACGAAATGACAGACATGTTTTGCAAGGCCCACAAGAGAGGAATGGCTTCATTTAGCTTTCCATCTTTTTGTGCTCCTGAGAAAAGATGTAGAGTGGAGATACAAAATCACTCATTAAAATGAACTTTGGCCATCTTTCATCCAGAACTTCTTCAGTTTTATTATCCTCTTGATTCCAGGTGTCTTTAGTTCAGGGATTTCTAGAGAGCATACCCAGGCACATGTGCCCTAAGTGTGCAAGTTTAAAACTCACTTTTCGTTTTATCAGCACGCCTGCAGACTTCTTCTCTGTGTGCCTCTAACCCCCGGCCCTCTAAAGGCAGGCCCCAGGGGAGGCATAATCTCCCAGCCTTTTCATGCTCTCTGCATGACGCTTGAGAGCGGAGGGGAGAGAAGGGTCTATAGCAGACCATTTATCTGCCTCCGCACAAGAGCTGCAGCATTGTGCAGAGCAGGTGCTGCCGCACATTCTTGTCCTTTAAATAATGTGGAAAGGACACACTTGAGAGATGTCTGGACCCGTGGCATTCTGCTGCTGCCGCCTTACTGTTGTTCTTGAACAGCCTTCAAAAACTTGCGCTGCCAAGTGGGCTCATTTTCACACTGAACCACTGCCCTGCTCTCCCTCTCTCTGGTTTGGAGGTATGCTGACATCAGCAGAAATACATAACACACAAAATATCTTATAAACTTATGCCACCCACCCTTGTTGGACTCTACTTTTAATACCCTCGTTTGTTTGACTTTGGGGGTTTCTTTGCTTGCTAAGGAAAGCTTAACCACTCTCTGTAAATGTTACAGCCGTTGGCTTTGGTTTAAGTCCTTAGCTATTGTTAAACAAGTCACATCTCTAAAGCTGCTTTGTTTGTATCTCAGCCCAGGAGGATTTGATTAATAACTGTCACCTATGTAAACATGACCCCTCACCCGTCTCTGTCATGCCGCAGGGCACCAACAAGCACTGAACTTCAAGTTCAAGCTCAGGTTTACAGCGTGCCCTCATTTTTAACCTCTGCAGAGAAGGGAGACTGTCACTGACCGATGGAACCTGAAAGGGGAAACAGCCCTTAAGGGAGTGGAGGAGGGGGAACAGTGATGGGTGTGTGTTGATGGAAAGTTCACTTCGTGCTGCTCTGTGATACACACAGAGAGGACTCTGGGTGTCGTGGCTACCCCTGCCCCAAACAGTCCAAAAAAACAGCTTTAGACATTTGCTAATAGGACAGAACACAGGATCCTATTAATTAGAAATGCCCTGCCGTAGCACAATCGAGCTCTTTGTGTATAATTTGTGTGTGTGCCTTGAGGTAGTTAACTATACTGCTAGTGCATTTTCTCTCTCAAAAGCTTGAATGTCAAGTCAATAATACTTAATAATAAGATCGCCTATTCCTTTGTTGTGAAGTATAATGTAATATACACCCACTAGCCACTTTTTTAGGTACACCTTGCTATTACCAGGTTGGACCCCCTTTTGCTTTCAGAACTGCCTTAATTCTTCGTGGCATACTTTCAACAAGGTGTTGGAAACATTCCTCAGATACTTTGGTCCATATTGACATGATAGCATCACATAGTTACTGCAGATTTGTCGGCTGCACAAGCTTTTCCAGTCTTCTGGACAGGAGTTTAAGTTGCTCTTTCTGGGACTGAAAATGCAGCATTTCCCTCTACTCAGGGTTAACAAACTCAGAGTTGTCAGTAAACCCACTTTCTGGACTACACCTGCGCCGAGCGTCTTCCTCCACAGAAGCAGCCGCCCGTCAGCAGCAGCTCCTGTGGAGCTGAGAGGCTGACAGACAGCTCAGCCTGTAAATATTGTAAGGGATCCATGCAAGGGAACAGCTTAGGTTACATTCATCTGAAAATATGAAGACACTGAACAACATTGCTAATTTGGCATCACACAGAGATAAGAATCATAGATAGCTAACATCGTTTCACCTACTTATCAAACTGGCAAGAACTTTCCCCTTCCATGTACATTTACTCATTTTGCATTACCTCTTTTATCCCTCCAAAAAATTAAAGTTTTCATGCCCCCATAATCGCCAGACTTGCTGCATGAAAAGCAATGACACTGACACTATGTGGGAATTAAATCCAGGTATCCCACACCAAAGAGAAGAGCACTATCCACAGACATACTCAGCTCCCGCGTACATACCTGACCATGCGCATGCATACATACTTAACCTCGCACATACATACATACTTAAGCATGACAGTATGTATTTACAGTATGTGCAAGCATGTATATGTATGTGCATGGCAGTATGTATGTATGTGCAAGTGATGTATTCAATTTTGGGCTAGGTGGCTTCTCATAGCTGCATCCCGACCACTATCCAGGACGTCTGTTTGGACTGCTTTCTGGTGTTTGTGTTCATCCAGTTGGAATTCCCATACTCAGCTCCAGGTGCCTCATCACTGTCAAACCATATGTCAAAAACTAATTAGAGTCAGTTTTCATGTAACAGTCGCGAGGTCCTTCTTTTAACTAAACTCAAAAGTCACTTTTTTGTCTGTCAAGACACAAAGCAGTTTTTAACATCTATGCATATCAAAGGCCCATGCCAGAAGCTGTGGCCTCGCTACATTATTCACTGGAAACAGCAGCAGCCTCCCTCCATCCACTGTCAGTCAATTAAAGTGCAATTAGTCACACCAAAGCCTGGATTTTAAAAATCCTCCCACCAGTTCATTCCAGAGTCTGAGCGTCTCCACAGCAACTAGCAAAGTTTTGTGTGTGCTCAGGTCCATGTACCACATTGGTCTGACTGCAGCTGCTGGCCCTTGTGAACCAACTCCTTCTTTCCTCCACTGTGGCCCCCACTAACTTAAACATTACTCTCTGATTGATTGCCTGAAATCAGTGAAGTCAGTCGTTTCTCCCCAGTTTTGCACAAAGAAACCTAAAGTAGCAGAGAGATGCAGAGTATAATGCTGTCTTACGGCATAGCCTGCCTCGTGCCAACAGGATATAAGCATGACTGCACTGTGCCTTTTTTCCTTTTTTCAGAGAGTGAGGCTGGTTGAAAACCTTTTTGAGATTTTCTCTTTTTTTTCTGGCAAGACATCATCATCTGGAAACACTTATTCTGTGATTTACGAAGGCCCCCTCTCGGATTTCCCCCAACACAAAAGAGCAGACAGCAGGAGAAACCTAGAAAATTCAAACCATCACAGAACGATTGATCGTTGCAAAACTGCAGTCTTTATATCAGGAACAAATGTTTGAATGTGTCTTTGACATAAGTGAAAACATATAGAATAAAAGTGTTACATATATTTTCAGCTGCAGATTAAAAGACAGATCTTAGAAAACTGTTCATGTGCTTAAAAAATGTGGTGTGACTCTAATTTTGTTCCATCCAGTGTCAGCCAGTGTGCAAGCTAACTCCTGCACAGTAACAGCGCCATTCTACCATTGACCCACTTTGCTGTAGAAATGCCTTAAAGATACAATGTCTGGATTCAATTACCCCACCCAGATTTGGCATACAGCATCACAGGCCTCTATAAAATTATCATGGTGGTTGTAGATGTGGCTTAATACACACTGCCTTGTGTTACTTTGTATGTTCTCTTTGATGTTGGTAATTGGTTTGGACTGAACTTTTCTATCCTATCCTATCTGCAAATTTGAAGAGCAGTTTTAGCCCCTTGGTCAGTGTCGGCTCATGCACAGTGCAGCAACGGTGGAGTCATGTATTTACAGATAACATACAGTTAAACAGCTATTGCTGTGCTCTCTTTCAGGTCGGAGGTGCCAAAACTACAACTCCCAAGCAGCACAAGGGCAGAGCAGCAGCTGAGCACTGGCAGCAGGCAGGGCCAGAGATGTTGCTCGAACCCTCAACACGACCGCTGTTCTCCGACAGGGCGTGCTGTGACGACCCCAGATAAGAGTAAGACATGTCTCAGAATGCCGTGCTCACATCTCTTTACTGCACAAGGATCCTCATCCCGTTAATTAGTGAGTTACTTAATAACGTAACAGCAACATGAGCTAGTCAGGTTTACCTTTCCACAGTGTGATGTAAATAATAAAACACATGGATGTATTTTAGCCGATGTGGTGGTTTCTGTCATCTACTTCCTCACACCCTCAACTTCCCTGCATTAAAAGCTCATCTCCATTTTCTGAGCTTTATTTGTTACTTGAGGATGGTGATATGGTGGCGGCAAGATATGGTGACAAGGATCCTCAGAATTAGTAGAAAATTAATGATTTTTACATATTTTTCATTTGCTAGAAAGTTGGCTTTCAAAACACTTCAAAGCACACACAGTGTTGTGCCTAATACAAACATACTACTGGTGGATAATAGGAACAATGTCCATAATTTGCATTATGTACTTACACATAGCTAGGTCTGTCAGTAATTTGTATGATTAATTGATTAATTCAGCCTGTAAAATGTCACTATATAGTGAAAAACACATGCAACAAGTTCTGAGAACCCAATGCAACGTCTTCTGGGAAATGTACGTTCCCAGGGTCCCACCTTTCCCAGCTATCCTCCTAATATGACACATTAAGGAGACCTTTATGTTCTCAGCAATGTTTTTTCCCAGTGTCGATATGTTGATATTACCACCTACAGCTTATAGCCCACTGATTATAAACTCCTTCAAACCTACGCCCTCACATTTGTGGGTGAAACAGTGTTCTTGACTTTAGACATTGCTCCATCTCCACAGTGGTGGACAGATTTCTACCATTCAAACTGCATTTTAATCATCCCAAATTTTTATTACCAATCACAGAATCTTTTTATATTTGTAAATCTTTTAAATCAGTAGGAAGACAAATGCATGTCTTATGTCTTATATTAAGGGAATATAAAGTTGGGGAACATAGGACTTTGGGAACTTTGGAGCCTGGGAATATAGGGATGACCTTCATCTCTACATTGCTTGTTTTGGTTGACCAACAGTCCAAGCTCCCATAGATATTCAGTTTACTACTATGACATAGAGAAAAGCAGGAAATTCTCACACTGGACGGGCTGAAGCCGGAGATGGTGCTTTTGCCTAAAAAATTGTATAAACGATGAATCAATCATCAAAGTGGTTGCTGATTCATTTTCTTTTGTTTGACTAACCGATTCAGTGACAAAATTGTTTCAGCTCTAGTCTCGAGCCTTTTCTACGCTACATCTCTGGCTTCTACCCTCGCTGATAATGATAACAATGATTATATTAACGATGATGGTGTGATGTGGTGTCTAGTGGAGGAGCAGCTGTTTCGCTCAGTGGAAGGCCAGGCCGCCTCTGATGAGGAAGAGGACAAGTGGACCGGAGATCAGCAGAGGAAGGTGGATGAGGTGAAGAGGATCTTGACCAGGCTGTCCTGTTGTGGGGAAAGGTACTGCACATCCTTTTCAGCACAGTGTCTTAAAGCAGGGCACCACCGTACAGCACTATTTCATGCTGCTAGCACAATCGAGCACTACCAAATTTCAAGATTTGTGTTACATTTTTCACATATATTATTGTTCATTTGATCAAATGAAGCATTAAACAAATTGAAATATATAACAATATTTTTTTAAAGCTGCATTAGTCCTTTTGGCCACTTGGGGGGCAGAAGAACTCTGGCACACAGTCCAATCCTCACATCAGGTGGCACGGGACATGACGATAAACAGGATGGCTTTAATGCGATACACTGATATGAAACAACAGGAGACATAGCTACAGTGTTTCACTATCTAAGTGCAATTGAATGTTGGGAACTGGCGTTGAGTTTGCACAATAAAATGACATTGATGTCCCCGACCACCCTGTGGTTCAACTTACCCTCTACTTTGGCTCAGTTACCCCTCATATGGGGGCCACTTTTTTTGGAAAGACATATTTTGAACAGTTTATTTTAGATCTAAATTGATTATTTACAAGGATGCTCCACATCCTAAAATATAATATTTTAGTTGGAGACCTTACTGTCATGTCCTCACTTTAAAGACACCTCAAGTAAAAACTGGCTCAATTCAGCCCGCTCTCCCCTACACATCCACATCCAATTTGGAGTCATCTGTTTACCTGATGAATATAAGTCCAATATCTGCTGGCCTTTAGCTCTGTTTGGTCCTCACCAAGTCATATAAAAGTAAATCTACATGTGTCTCTAGCTGCTAGATGTTGGACTTTCTTCACCAGCGAGCTCAGATGCTAACTGTGTCTGCCTGCTGTTTGGTAGTGTACAGCAGGTTCATAATGTTGAAGAGAACGGTGCGTCTGAATCCCTAAATCATCAGGCTTGTTTGATTAAAACAGTTGCCTTTTGCTGCTAAAAAACGAGGGTGATAAAAGTGACGAGAGTGAACCTTTCTAAATGTGCCATAAAACCAAAGCATGCAAGAGCCTACAAATCTCTGTGGTGCTACAGTGTAGGGTTGTCACTCCATCAGACCACTTTCACATTACACATATCCATTTGATTTATTGTTAATTTAAGTAATAAAAGGTGAAGCGTGAAGTGTTAATCCCTAACAGTTTCTTTTTTTGTGTGGGTTCCTGTGTGCCAAAGTATATTTACATTGTGCAATCTGCCAGCTATAAGGGAAAAAAGCAATATAGAGATAAATCTACAGAAAAAGGACACTGCTACAAAAGCACCAATGAAATAAGTTATTCCAGCCATTATACTGTTTCCATAACTGTTTAGGGTCATGAAGGCCTGTCTTAAGTCCTTAAGTCCACAACACACATGAAAATCATCTGAAACATGTAAAAGTGATTATTTTAGAACAAGTTTGTGCTAGTGTGCTAAAATGTTGCCTTGTATAAGAAATATTTGAATACAGACTAAATACACTGTAAGTCATTATCAGCACTATCGTAGCTCTGAGCCTCATAGACTCTCTGTCCTGTGGTACGTGTTGTTGATCAGGTGTGACTACAGGGCATTCAAGAAGCTGATGTCTAATTTCGGGAGCTTGAGGAACGAGGCGAGCTGCAGTGCTGTGGTGGAGCTCCTGGAGCGGGTGACCACGTTGCATAAGCAGCTGGAGCTGAAGGAGAGCCAGGCAGAGATAGACATGGACCAGGTACAAGCCACCAATGAGCTCCATCACACCAGGGTGGGCTACTGCAGTGTCTTCTGCCCTGGTCTGCTGGATCCATTTATATGAAACTTTTCTCTCTGGACAATGTTCTGCCTGGCTTTACATCATAAGTCATTTCGTGGTTGTGTGTATGGTGTTAAACTAGATTAGAGAGGACTGGTGAAGGTTGTTATGAAAGTGGAGGGCTTCAAAGGCAAAACCACGGCAAGATCCTGCAGCTTCCACCTAACCAAACCACCAGCAGCGGGAAGGAGCCTCCCTTTGTGTGTGGGTGTGTTTGCAGCTGTTTCTCACTGGAGCTGACCACAGGAACACTCCCCCCTTGTCCCGCATGACACTAGGAATATAATAAATTAAAGCTCTCTTGTTACAGTCGAGTAGTATTTTCACAACACAGGAAGACAAAGCAGAAGGGGAACCGTGATGTAATGTGTTCCCAGAACGTCTCAGCACTCGGAGAGGAAAAGTTGAAACTAAACAAAGTCTTGACTGTGAGGCTTTGTTTATGTGCAGGATGTGTGGGGTGAGACCTTTGCCCTTCGCTACGCTATGACGTAAAGGTGCACTGCAGGGATTTCCAACATTTTTGGCAGGCAAACCTACAAGATGTGGGCTGAAAACTCAGTCTAACCTCAACCATGTGACATACATTTACTTTGAGTATATTTACTGTATGTTGATGTTTAGCAGGCCTTCAGGGTAAGAGTGACATATCCAGCTGCTCTTGTAACAAATAGTTGCTTTATCTGTGCTTGGTCTGGGATAATGTTGGCTGTATTCTACGTTTTCTTATTTTAACAAACCCCATGAAAAGACAAAAACCAACAATAAACAGTACATAGTGTTGTTGATGTTGAACCAGAAAAAGACACCTGACCGTATGGCAGGCAGAAGGACTGTACTTGATTGACTGGTTTGTGTTGTGTCTTCCAGATGAAGGACTCTCTGTTGCAGGAGCTGCAGCAGAAGGCAGAGGAGACTGAGCTGCTTCAGATGGAGCTGCAGATGCTGGAGACAGAGAGGGTCCGTCTGTCACTGGTGGAGGAGAAACTTGTGGACATCCTACAGCTCCTCCAGCAGCTCAGAGACCTGGTTAGTCACAGTTATCTGGTGACTGCACTCACCAGTTTGAAGAGGTCAGAGCATCTAATAACCAAGGCTTTGTGCTAATATCTTCATTTAAAGGCCCTAACATATTGTTAGGGATTTTTAGCCCAGAGAAAAACCTTGTAAACCGCAGTTAGACCATCATGCGAACTGAAAAGCTTTTGCTGTGTTGGCAGCTGAGAGAAACCCACCCACGCTCCACTGGAATGATTTTCTCTGGTCAGACATCACAAAGAAAAACCAATTTAAAGTTTTCACTAGCATTGTTCAAGGACAAACCTCCACATGGGCTTCCACTTACTGATAGTGAAATTAAAAGTCTGCGTTGTCCTGTTGAATCAACAAACAGATGTCTTACCTGTCAAAGTACTACCATGGGCCTCTGTCCATTCTTTTGTCATCTAACCCTAACAGAGGAAGATTGATTATAGATCTGAGAACAAATGAATTTCACTTGTTGAACATGTGTGAGAGTCTCAGATTCCTTGTTTAAGAGCCTGTTAATTGCCTGATAGCTTCAGAGAATAGCTCTCTCTTGTTTCAGAACGTCTCGCGGAGGTCTCTCGGTAAAATCTTGCTCAGCACTTTGGAGTCTTGCAGCGACCCGCAACACGGTTAGTAGAGCTCACATGTCCAATAAAATCAATACAAGTCCTGTGAAATGCGATAATGAAAATGTACAGTCACACAGGGCAGGGAACTAAATTAAATTCCCGCCGGGTCGTCTGTAACACGGTTCCCTCAGCGGTCACATCTGTTCTGCTTTTGCACAGGGAAAGCCCACATTCTGGAGGTGCTCAACGCGCTCTATCATGAACTGGCTGCCTGTGAGATTCTGTCGACCGGTGGATCTTTGGAGAGAACACAGAGTCAGCAGTCTCTGAACGCCCTCCTCATCTCCTGCTAATCAAGACTGCCTCCTGCTGGGCCAGTGATGCTCCGACAGACACTGAAAGCTTAACAGTGGTTAAAAAACCAGCTGATTGATGTGGATACTGTATATTGTAGCCCATATACCCCTCTGACCCTGATATCTATAAAGGGATATTAGTCTAGAATTACATATAAAGAAAATTATTGTTTATACATTGCCTTTTCCCTCAACAGAGTTCTGAATGTAAAAATGTTAAAATAAGCTAAATCATAAGTAGTCTGTGAAATGTATCGTCCCCCGCCAGTCAACAGGTCAACAACATCCCTGATACAACTGAAAGAATTTAAAAGGAAACTGCGTCTTAATTCACATCCTTTACTCATCTAAGTCTGCATTTCAAGATCAAATGTCCTAACAAAACTGTGTCACTGAATACAGAGAAGTGCCGCCTGCATTTGACCTCATTCGGAGAACACTACTACTATATACTACTTTTGACCCTGTGGTTCATTCATTAATATCAGTATGTTGGGAAATATCATTGGAAACAGCAGCTGTTTTGTGTCAGCGGCATATGCATCACATGAATTGGACAAATGAAAAAGCCCTGCTAAATGTAAATATAGACAGTCAAGCTTCAACTTGTTTCTTTTTTGGCAAAACAGAATCAACAAGTGGGTTACTCACTTGTTCCAAAACATGTTACACAGCCGTCATGAGCAATGCGGGAGTTTTTTGTGGATGTTCAAACTTCCCATTTATACTTTAAGAATAACGGGGAGTTTGAACGTCTACACGTCCATGACCACTGAGCAAAACCCATTTTCTGATAGAGACCATGTTATATGGTCAGACGTTCAGAGCAAGCAAGTAAGGGGACCTTGATTTGAGCTTGTTTTGTCCACTGCTGCTTCCAAGATCAAGAACGAACTGTCAAGCTCTTGCTGGTGGGCATTATGGCGGTTGTGGACTACTGGCTGTCTGGATTCAGTGCAGTATATGTTCATTCATGATATGTTGAGGTTGAATGTTGAACTCATACTGTACCTTCTAGTATCATGTCAATGGTTAACACTTGATACAATTTGTTTGGTGTGATGAGGAAATTACCGAAATGCATTAGTTTTGGTCTGTGTGAGCCTTGATTGTGCAGGCTTAGCCTGGTATTCTCCAGAACCTCTGAAGGAACACCTTCCTGGGCCACATTCATTTGCTAAGATTGGTTTAACAAAAGCTTTGTCATTTGTTTGTATTTGAGAGGCTAGCTTGTGCTTGTCTGTTTCATGAAGGAAGCAGACACTTCGGTATCTTGAACCTCTAGTACAGGCTGAGTCATGTCTGGTCACAGAGCTAAAAGTTAGATAGACTTTATTATGCCCAAGGAGAAAAGTTGTTACCACGATGTGTGCGTCTGCACAGTACAACCAGAGATGCCCACGTAAGTTCTGTTTATACAAACAAAAAATGAACACCCGTCCAGGATAATCCAGCCTGGCACGTGCAACTAGTCTATTACATTATTAGCAGCTGTCTAATTAAACCTACGGTTACTTCCTCACAACTGTTTCACAATATGATACAGCAGATTAACTTTAATTAAATGCTCATTCTGATACACTAAATATCTCCATATTAGATGGATCCATTGCATAGTCATTGCTGGGTTGAAATGAGGGCCTTGGATGCAAAACCACTCACTGATGTTATTGAATCATGTCAATAAAGCCTTTGACTTACGCACTCTAGACTGCTGTGATTTATTTATTTATGTCTGAAAAGTCCCACTGCTGCTCCATGTAGCATTCAAAAACCCAAAAGCAGCATGTTGCACCAAGAACAGGTCATATGTTTAAAATGATATTATTTTAACCCACAAGTTTGACTTGACTCCACTATACAGGCTGGGGTTTAGTGATAAATTTAATACTTTCATTCACTGATGAATAAATGAATTGAAGTTTTGAGTTGCTACTGTGCAAGATTGTCAACTTTATTGTATGGTGCACTCATTCACAGTTTTATCAGAGAAATTTCATAAACAAACAATTTCTGTTTTAGTACCAAAATATAATATCACTGATGCTCGGGGAGATGGGTACCAATGATCTTCTGAGCAGTTTGAATCCCCCGCTGCAGAGCCCTCCGGTCCTGGGCCGTGCACATCCCATGTTAGTGATGTTTCCAGTCAGGATGTTTTCTATTGCTCCTCTGTAAAAGCTGACAAGAACTTGGCGTGGGAATTTGGCTTAAGTTTCCTCAAGAAATCCATTTGTTTCTGAGCTTTCTTCACCAGCGTGGAGATGTGAGACGACCATGTCAGCTTCTCTGTGCTGAAACTGTTCACCTGCTCCACCTCAGCTCCACTGATGTAGACAGGAGTGTGTGTCTTTATCTCCGTCTTCCTGAAATCAGCGATCAGCTCCTTAGTTTTGCTGATATTGAGCAGTAGGTTGTTCTCTGTACACCACTCTACAAGATTATCAATTTTCCTCCCGATATGAAGTCTCATCGTTGTTTGAAATCCGGCCGATGATGGTGGTGTCATCCATAAACTTCACAACAGTTCTCTCCATGTTGGGGGATGTAGTCGTGGGTGTGCAGGGGTGAACAGGAGGGGGCTGAGCACACAGATCTATAGGTACATTTAAGCTATTTGTTACAATATAACAGGTTTTAGAGTGAAACTGAGTTTGTAACTCCCTTCTGCTACATAGCAGACAATATACATTGGTTCAATACAGAACCAGTGAGTAAAGTGTTAAACTGAAAGAAACTATAATTAATGGAGCACTGCTGAAGATGAATTAGAGGTTAAGAGTCTGATAGCTTGGGGGGGGGGGGGGCTGCTCTGTAGCCTGATGGTGCTGCAGCTGAACAGTGTAAAGTATAAAGTGACAGTCGGCCTATGATATGATAATTTATCATAATACTCAAGTAAAGAAAGTAACAATAGGCTTCCTCACAACTGTACGGTAGCTCTGCCCATGATGAACAAAGTCACTCAAAAACAAACAGGTGATGTTTCTACTATAAGTGAGTAAGAGTTGCGTTGCTAGGCAAACCGAAATCCCGCGATACGACGAGTGCAACTTTTACCTGAGAAAGCGGGCTACAGTGTGCGGGGAAAGAAACGGACATCAACCCGCAGCGGGCTACAGTGTGCGGGGAAAGAAACGGACATCAATCCGCAGCGGGCTACAGTGTGCGGGGAAAGAAACGGGAAAGTCTGGATGGAGCGACACGGCAGGGAACTCACGTTCTCACGGGATTTCCTGGGTTGCCTAGCGACGTGACTCTAATAGCAGTAGCTTTCGCAGTGTGTGTGTTTTCTGTTTTTTTGCTCCTGTCTGACATTTATTTAAGTGTGATTTTGCTGCTGGCGGCTTGAAAAACTTAACACTAGGCTGAAAAATGGCGAGTGTTGTTGCACAGTCGCATTTCATCTTCGGTCTAAGGACAAGTGTGAGTAACAATTTGTGTTTCTTCGATGAGCAAACTGTCGTTTTCCCCGCCGGAAACAGCTGTGTGTGCTTCAACACTGTCCACAGATGTCAGAGGTTCATTCCAGGTAGGCTGGATGATCGTGCGGCATTATCAAGTCAAGTACCTGTTTATCTCATGTGGTATTAGACATTCCTTTTATTTTTCTGTTAGTTGTTTTCTATTGGTGTCTTTGCAGGCTCAGAGAAAAGCCAGGGCATGAGTGCTTTGGCCATCAGTGCCAACCGGCGTTACCTGGCAGTGTCAGAGTGTTGCCAGAAGGCCACCATCACAGTGTTCGACCTGCAGCATGAGCAGGGCAGAAAGAGGAAAGTTCTGACTGCAGGAGACTTGCTTGTTCAAGAGTTTGTGTGCATGGCTTTCTCTCCTGATTCCAAGTACCTGATAGGCCAAACGGGCGGTCCAGAGTGGATGCTGATCTTCTGGCTTTGGGAAAAGCAGAAAGTGCTCGCATCAGTGAAGACCAGTAACTCAAACAATCCTGTTACCCAGGTGAGTCACCCACGCTGTATCGGTGCAGCCATGCACCCTTTGAGCACGTGATCCGACTTTATCAATGTCCCATCAGGTCAGCTTCAACCCTTACAACAACATGCAGCTCTGTGTGAGTGGAACTGGGGTGTTCAAGCTGTTCCGCTACTCTGAGGGAGCCCTGAAACAGAGCAGCTTCCCAAAGGTGGAGTCCATCAACTTCCTGTGTCATACATGGATGACAGAGGAGCGGGTGATCGCTGGGACGGACACAGGCAGGCTGCTGGTATTTGAGTCCGGAGACCTGCGAAGAGAGATTAACACGGCTTCTAAGGCTGTGCAGGAGCAGTCTGACAGGTCAGAGGTTTATCCAAAAATTGTTTTAAAAAATACTCTTAGGTGATGTACAGTAATTATGATTAGCTATGGCGAGATTACAGAGTTAACAGACTACGCAGTGTTTATTCTCAACAAATCCAAGCAAAACCAATCTGAATTTATCCTGCTCATAAGCAGAGGCGGTGAAAACATGACTGATTACTTTAGACTTGACATAATTCACTTGGACTTGAGCCTTTTGTCTTGGAATGACTTGCCCAAGTCCAAAGATTAAAACGTATTTTATTTTTAAAAAAGTGTGCAGTAAACAAATTCTTAATTTTATTGATGATGGATGTATTTTAGATCAAGCAGGAGGGAACGATCTGTGATCTCCCTGTAACTTTCATTCATTCACTGCACAGGCAGGTGGAGATGCAGAAGATCAAAGACGCTGAAGGGGATGAAGACCCCAATGTTCCTCGCATCACAGCCATTCTGTCCTACTCCAAAGGCTTTGTGTGCTCGTTGGGTCCCGGCACCGTCTGTCTTTTTGAAAGAAATGAGGAGGACAGTTATAGAAGAAGCAGGGAGATCCGGGTAAATGGGAATGCAGGTAACAGTGCCTCTGCAGGCTCTGCGTATGTTTCAAAGTGATCATATGTGTATCCTTTTCTGTCAGATCCCTCCAGACCCACACAGCAATGAGCTGACCCCGGCCGAATCCCAGGAGATTGACACCATGTGCATCAGTCCAGCAGAGGAGACTCTGGCCATCAGCACAGACAGAGGACAGCTGTACAGCTTCAGCCTGTCCTCTGTGGAGATGAACAAGGTAGACGGCCCCCTCTACCAGCACCAACACTGTGCTGGTGATTACTCTTCCACGTCAACGTGGTGTCTCTATTGTTTACCTTGTGTTGTCACCGTGGAAGATAAAATGATTGTTGCCCCCATAATGTAGCAGAGTCTCACCGCACTTAATGCAGCTGTTGTGAGTTTTGATGGCTGATAAACCCTTAAATATACAGATCTATTACTCAAACTGGCCTTCCTGGGTCTTATGTCATTTTCTTCTACTTGCTCCTTCCTAAAGCGACATTTCCACACCGACGCATACCTCCTTCACCAGGGCCCGTTTCAGAAAGCGGGATTAGTGAAAATTCTGAGTATGTTCAGCCTGAGATGAGGGAAACTCTGGGTTTTCTGTTTCAGAGAGCGAGATCAGATAATCCCTAGATCAGTAACTCCGGCAACTGTTGGAAAACCGTCAGCTTCTCTCTGACTCCTCCCCTCCCCGCGGAACCTGAGGCGGCTGTCTAACCCCACAGTTTGATTTCCTCATTCATGCTGTCGATATCAAAGCACATATCTGAACGCATTTACATCTTTAAAAACTTTAAAATCCCGGTTAAATAGACTTGATCTTGAACGGGATCACTTTCATGATCAATCTGTCATCGTAGATTTATCCTCAGCACAGAATAAAATCTGTGTCCGTCTTTAGGTATAACGCTGTGACAGTTGCACTGAAAATACTTACTGTGGGCTACATTACTGCAGTAATCACTGTTTAATATGTAGGCTAACCTATAAACTGATCAATGAACAGTAATCTTTCATGTTGGAGATAATGTGATTATTTCTGAGTGAGGATGACTGTGGTGCAGCTGAAACAAACAGGTCTACATAAGGTTTAAATGTGAGTTTTTCATTATTACCTGCTGATAGTCTGAATGTGTTTTGACAGCATTAATAAAATAGGCTACTAAATGAACAAGATGTTATTAACTTAAAATAGACGTCTAAACGTTTACAGTTAGTTTGAACCCATAGATGCATTTTCCACTGCAAAAAAAAAAGGGCTAACCTACTGGGTGCTACTGTGACTTTACAATCACAGGTTTATGAGTAAACTGTGTCTTATAGGCTGCCTATTTTCATAATCAGGTAGCCGATTTTTTTTTGTCCCGTCCGGTTATAGGGTTAGGCTACAGCTTAATAAATCTAGCCTTCCTATTTAAAATCGACTGTAATGAGCTGTAGCACTTTATCATTCATTAAGGAAAGTCCAGTCTGGTAAATGATGAATGAGCAACGCTGTGTAGTAGCCTAATAATGTTAACGCATTGATTCTTCTTCCGCTCCTGCGTTTTAGAGCCTATCAGGGTCCGCGTTGGCACGCATTCATATTTCTAGCTCCACTCGATTGAAATGGAGGCTCTGCCTTTATTTACCCGTTGCCATGGTGAATCGTAGTATCGGATCTCCATTGATGAGGCTTTTTTTAATCCCCACGCACGCGTTTCCATCAGGCTCAACGTACTCAGAGTTGATTGAACTGATTCTGATCAGCTGTTCTGGAACCGAAAACTCAGAGTTTCACATCTCAGGCTCAGTCAACCCAGAGCTCAGGGACGAGCTCAGAGTTTGTTAAGCCTGCTTTCTGAAACTG